GCACGTGAAACGTATATGGAACTCAGGTTTAAGTGTCCGTAAATATGGTTTATCGGCATACAGCACCGCCCACTCGGTCGCTGGCATCTATAATGACTTGTTACGTACAAACGGCAGAGTTGAGGGGCTATGACGGAGCCCGTGCCCAGCAAAGCTTAAAATATTTACTGCCCGCCTTTGAGAAGGGGTGGGCAGCCCCTGCACTGAAGCGCCGTTTCCCAGCCCCCCCGGGGTTCAGGGCGCACTGGTGCGGCCCCTCCGCCGAGCCCCGCTCGCTCGGTTCTTTGGTGGTTTTCAGAAGCGGAGTCAACTCTGGGAGCCTGGTCCCCGCAGGGCAGGGCTGGGCAGCGCAGGGACCCCGGAGCTGCCCCTGCCCGGGGAGGGGGCCTCTGGCAGAGGCTGGGGGTCCCGGCTCACCGCAGATTCGGGGTCGGGCCGCGCTGCCACATTTATCCAACCCACAGACCAAGGTGCGGAGGGGCGGGGAGGCGGAGGGGCCGAGGCGTGGGGCTGCGGCGGGACCCGGCGCCCCGCGCGTACCCGTGGCGACCCGGCGGCGGCAGGCGGGCGCGCGCGGGCTGGATCAGAGGGTGGGGTGCGGGCCCGGGTCTCGGGGCCTCTCGCGGCCGACTCCGGGATTTTGATGATCTTTGGAAAAGAGTTCCCGGATTTTAGGACCTTTAGACGACGTGCATTCATTCATTCACCCACCCACCCATCCATCCCTGCCCCACAGGTCCCTCCATCTGGCCTTTCCATCCCCAGCCCAGGCGGGAGTCCCGCCTCCCTCTCTGGGTGCCTCCGGGCCCCCGTGCGACGGCCCCGATCTCCCCAGCCTCTGCTCCACGCCGCGGAGGATCCGGTGGGAAGCATCCAGAGGCCCAGGCACAGGGGCGATGGCCCGGGGGTCCCGGCTGACAGAGGCCGAATGGCCCAGCACTGCCCGCTGCTCAGGGGTAACCCCTCCACGACCCCCAACGCTTGGCACCCTCAGCTGCCAAGTGGTCGCCCTTGTAACAGGCGCAGCGCCAGCAGTGTTGGAATTCGTTTTTCTCTAGTTCGGAACTTCTCTCCCTGAGATTCCCTCTCCCCTCCCATTTCTCCCTTGCTCTGTTCTTATTTGGGGGGAATCTCCTGTTTGCTGTCCATCGTCACTTGTTGGTTTGAGATACCGCAAATGTCTTCTCACTGAGGATTTGGCGTGGGGTGCCTTTGGCCGAACAGAAACCCCATTATAATCAATTGCAAAGTCCTTCCGAATGACTGTTCCTGGTTCCTAATAACTGTTTGCATTATTTATCAAATGCAAAGTCCAGTCCTAATGACTGTTTCTGGTGTTCATCCCTTCCCTTCTCCTCAGTCACAACCAGAATCAACCATACATCTATTAAGTCACAGTTTTGCCATCAGGGGCACATGCTGAGTGGGGCACTACCTTGAACCAGCTTTATCTTTCTTAGAAAAATAGTCCAATTTGCAACCTCCTCCTCCAAACCCCAGCCTTGCCCCTTGGCCTTGAGGAGCGGCCTCACTGTACATCGGATGCCAGCGTGCAGGGGTGGTCAGGGCACACCCGTCAGTGTCTGTGGTCTCTGACTGTTCCTGTCCCCATGCTGTGTCTCTGCAGGATCTTAATATCCCTCCGAGCAACCCGCCCTTCGCTGTTCTGTCACAGGGCAGACTAGCTCTTTGTGGATGTGATTCTCACAGAGAAATTGTAAAGGAGGTTTATGAAGTAACAACTCAAACACCCTGGAATTTTGATTGGGAATGAACAAGAGGTGCATGCTGTCGAGCCATCTATTCGAGAGCATGGACTGCCTCTCCAAATATTTCAGATCGCCCATCATAAAACCCTTTTCTAGAGTTTTTTTTCCAACTCTAGTTTTAAAAAAAATTTTTATTAAGGTATTATTGATATAAACTCTTATAAAGGTTTCACATGAAAAGCAATGTGGTTACTACATTGACCCATATTATCAAGTCCCCCCCACACCCCAATGCAGTCACTGCCCATCAGTGTAATAAGATGCCACAGAGTCACTACTTGTCTTCTCTGTGCTACACCATTTTCCCCGTGACCCCCCCACACCATGTATACTAAACATAATAGCCCTCAATCCCCTTCTCCCTCCCTCCCCACCCGCCCTCCCACACCCTCCCCTTTGGTAACCGCTAGTCCCTTCTTGGAGTCTCCGAGTCTGCTAATATTTTGTTCCTTCAGTTTTCCTTCCTTGTTATACTCCATAAATGAGGGAAATCATTTGGCATTTGTCTTTCTCTGCCTGGCTTATTTCACTGAGCATAATATCCTCCAGCTCCATCCTTGTTGTTGCAAATGGTAGGATTTGTTTTTTTCTTATGGCTGAATAATATTCCATTGTGTATACGTACCACCTCTTCTTTATCCATCTACTGATGGACACTTAGGTTGCTTCCATATCTTGGCTATTGTAAATAGTGCTGCGATAAACATAGGGGTGCATATGTCTTTTTGAATCTGAGAAGTTGTTCCCTTTGGGTAAAGTCCAAGGAGTGGGATTCCCAGGTGCCTTGCCAATCTGGATGCCTTTTATTTCTTTGTGTTGTCTGATTTTTTTCTATTTTTAGTTTTTTGAGGAACCTCCATATTGCTTTCACAATGGTTGAACTAGTTTACATTCCCACCAGCAGTGTAGGAGGGTTCCCCTTTCTCCGCATCATTGCCAGCATTTGTTGTTATGAGTCTTTTCAATGCTGGCCGTTCTTACTGGTGTGAGTTGATATCTGATTGTGGTTTTAATTTGCATTTCTCTGATGATTAGTGATGTGGAGCATCTTTTCATGTGCCTGTTGGCCATCTGAATTTCTTCTTTGGAGAATTGTCTCTTCATATACTCTGCCCATTTTTAATCAGGTTATTTGCTTTTTGGGTGTTGAGGCATGTGAGTTCTTTAAATATTTTGGATGTTAACCCCTTGTCGGATATGTCATTTACAAATATATTCTCCCATACTGTACGATGCATTTTTGTTCTGTTGATAGTTTCTGTTGATAGTGTCCTTTGCTGTACAGAAGCTTTTTAGTTTGATGTAGTTCCATGTGTTCATTTTTGCTTTTGTTTCCCTTGCTCGAGGAGATGCATTCAGAAAGAAGTTGCGCATGTTTATATTCAGGAGATTTTTGCCCATGTTGTCTTCTAAGTGTTTTATGGTTTCATGACTTACATTTAGGTCTTTGATCCATTTCGAGTTTACTTTTGTGTATGAGATTAAACAATAATCCAATTTCATTCTCTTGCATGTAGCTGCCCAGTTTTGCCAACAACAGTTGTTGAAGAGGCTGTCATTTCCCCACTGTATATTCATGACTCCTTTATCATATATTAATTGACCATATATGGTTGGGTTTATATCTGGGCTCTCTAGTCTGTTCCATTGGTCTATGGGTCTGTTTTTGTACCAGTACCAAATTGTCTTGATTACTGTGGCTTTGCAGTAGAGCTTGAAGTTGGGGAGCATAATTCCCCCTGCTTTATTCTTCCTTTTCAGGATTGCTTTAGCTATTTGGGGTCTTTTATGGTTCCATATGAATTTTAGAACCAGTTGCTCTAGTTTGTTGAAGAATGCTGTTGGTATTTTGATAGGGATTGCATTGAATCTGTAGATTGCTTTAGGCAGGATGGCCATTTTGACAATATTAATTCTTCCCATCCATGAGCACAGGATGTGTTTCCATTTATTGGTATCTTCTTTAATTTCTTTAATGAGTGTCTTATAGTTTTAAGGTTATAGGTCTTTCACATCCTTGGTTAGGTTTATTCCTAGGTTTTTCATGTATGGCCTTTATTATGCTGTGGTACTTGCCCTCTATACCCATTTTGTTGAGAGGTTTTATCATGAATGGATGTTGAATTTTGTTGAATGCTTTTTCAATATCTATGGAGATGATCATGTGGTTTTTGTCCTTTTTGTTGATGTGGTAGATGATGTTAATGTATTTTCTAATGTTGTACCATCCTTGCATCCCTGGGATGAATCCCACTTGATCATGATGGATGATCTTTTTGATGTATTTTTGAATTCAGTTTGCTAATGTTTTTTGAGTATTTTTGCATCTGTGTTTATCAGGGATATTGGTCTGTAATTTTCTTTTTTTATGGTGTCTTTACCTGGTTTTGTTATTAGAGTGATGCTGGCCTCATAGAAGGAATTTGGGAGTATTCCCTCCTCTTCTACTCTTTGGAAACTTTAAGGAGGATGGGTATTAGGTCTTCACTAAATGTTTAATAATAATCAGCAGTGAAGCCATCTGGTCCAGCAGTTTTGTTCTTATTCAGTTTTTTTGTTACCAGTTCAATTTCGTTGCTGGTAATTGGTCTATTCGAACTTTCTGTTTCTTTCTGGGTCAGCCTAGAAGGTTGTGTTTTTCTAGAAAGTTGTCCATTTCCTGTAGGTTAACCAGTTTGTTAGCATAAATTTTTCATACTATTCTCTGATAATTCTTTGTATTTCTGTGGTGTCTGTAGTGATTTTTCCTTTCTCATTTTTGATTCTGTTTATGTGAGTAGATTCTCTTTTTTTCTTGATAAGTCTGGCTAGGGGTTTATCTATTTTGTTTATTTTCTCAAAGAACCAGCTCTTGCTTTCATTGATTCTTTCTATTGTTTTATTCTTCTCGACTTTATTTATTTCTGCTCTAATCTTTATTATGTCCCTACTTTTACTGACCTTAGGCCTCATTTGTTCTTCTTTTTCTAATTTCGTTAATTGTGAGTTTAGACTGTTCATATGGGATTGTTCTTCTTTCTGAGGTAGGCCTGTATTGCAATATACTTTCTTCTTTGTATGGCCTTCACTGAGTCCCACAGATTTTGTGGTTTTTGTTGTCATTAATCTCCATATATTGCTTGATCTCTGCTTTTATTTGGTCATTAATCCATTGGTTATTTAGGAGCATGTTGTGAAGCCTCCATGTGTTTGTGGGATTTTTCGGTTTCTTTGTATAATTTATTTCTAGTTTCATACCTTTGTGGTCTGAGAAACTGGTTGGTACAATTTCAATCTTTTTGATTTTACCGAGGCTCTTTTTGTGGCCTAGTATATGATCTGTTCTTGAAAATGTTCCATGTGCACTTGAGAATAATGTGTATCCTGCTGCTTTTGAGTGTAGAGTTATGTAGATGTCTGTTAGGTCTATGTGTTCTAATGTCTTGTTTAGTGCCTCTGTCTCCTTACTTATTTTCTGTCTGGTTGATCTTTCCTTTGGAGTGAGTGGTGTGTTGAAGTCTCCTAAAATGAATGCATTGCATTCTATTTCACCTTTTAATTCTGTTAGTATTTGTTTCACATATGTAGGTGCTCCTGTGTTGGGTGCATAAATATTTATAATGGTTATATCTTCTTTTTGGACTGACCCCTTTATCATTATATAATGTCCTTCTTTGTCTCTTGTGACTTTCTTTGTTTTGAAGTCTATTTTGTTTGATACAAGTACCACAACACCTCATTTTTTCTCCCTATTAGTTGCCTGAAATATCTTTTTCCATCCCTTCACTTTTAGTCTGTGTATGTCTTTAGGTTTGAAGTGCATCTCTTGTAGGCAGCATATAGATGGGTCTTGTTTTTTTATCCATTCAGTGACTCTATGTCTTTTGATTGGTGCATCAGACCATTTACATTTAGGGTGATTATTGATAGGTATGTACTTATTGCCAATGCAGACTTTAGATTTTAGATTCGTGGTTACCAAAGGTTCAGGGGTAACTTCCTTACTATCTAAGAGTCTAACTAAACTCACTTAGTATGCTATTACAAACACAATCTAAAGGTTCTGTTTTTCTCCTTTTTCTTCCTCCTCCATTCTTTATATATTAGGTATCATAGTCTGTACTCTTTGTCTATCCCTTGATTGACTTTGGGGATAGTTGACTTAATTTTGCATTTGCTTAGTAATTAACTGTTCTACTTTCTTTACTGTAGTTTTATTACCTCTGGTGACAGCTATTCAACCTTAGGAACACTTCCATCTATAGCAGTCCCTCCAAAATACAGTGTAGAGATGGTTTGTGGGAGGTAAATTCTCTCAGCATTTACTTCTCTGTAAATTGTTTAATCCCTCCTTCAAATTTAAATGATAATCTTGCTGAGTAGAGTATTCTTGGTTCCAGGCCCTTCTGTTTCCTTGCATTAAATACATCATGCCACTCCCTTCTGGCCTGTAAGGTTTCTGCTGAGAAGTCTGATGACAGCCTGATGAGCTTTTCTTTGTATGTGATCTTATTTCTCTCTCTGGCTGCTTTAACAGTCTGTCCTTATCCTTGATCTTTGCCATTTCAATCATTATATGTCTTGGTGTTGTCCTCCTTGGGTCCCTTGTGTTGGGAGATCTGTGCACCTCCATGGCCTGAGGGACTATCTCCTTCCCCAGATTAGGGAAGTTTTCAGCAATAACCTCCTCAAAGACACTTTGTATCCCTTTTTCTCTCTCTTCTTCTGGTACCCCTATCATGCAAATATTGTCCCGTTTGGATTGGTCACACAGTTTTCTCAATATGCTTTCCTTCTTAGAGATCCTTTTTTCTCTCTGTGCCTCAGCTTCTTTGTATTCCTATTCTCTAATTTCTATTCCATTTATCGTCTCCTCCACTATATCCAATCTGCTTTTAAAACCTTCCATTGTATGTTTCATTTTTGATACTGTGTTCCATGATGATTGATCTCCAACCGGAATTCATTCCTGAGTTCTTGAATATTTTTCTGTACCTCCATGAGCATGTTAATGGTTTTTATTTTGAAATCTCTTTCAGGAAGATTCATGAGGTCGATTTCACTTGAATCCTTCTTCTCTGGTGTATTTATAATTTTACTCTGAACCAGGTTCCTTTGGCGTTTCATATTTGTATGTGGCGCCCTCTAGTGCCCAGAAGCTCTACTCTCTGGAGATGCTCAGCCCCTGGAGCAATGTTGGGGGTCACAGGGGAGCGGTGTTGGTGCCCTGTTCCATGAGGTCTATTCTTTTCTCCAGGTGTGTGCAGTTTGGTGCAGCCCTCTTTCCTGTTGCTCTCTCCAGATTAGTTGTATTAATTATATTTTCGTATTATATGTGGTTTTGGGAGGAAGCCTCTGTCTCACCTCTCATGCCACCATCTTTAATCCCCCTTTTCTAGAGTTTTAAAGTGGTCCCCATAGAGGTCTTGCATATTAGTGATTAATTGAAAAATATAGTTTATTTTTTCATTTTGGTAAATGGTGCCGTATTTTTAAAAATTATAATCTCTAGTTGGCTATTTTTGTAAATAATGACAGTTGTTTCTCTTCCCTTCCAGTCCTCTTTTTATTTCTATTTCTTTCCTTATTGCTCTTTCCCAGGGCCTCCATGCTAAACAAAAGTGATAGAAGTGGGCATCCTTGTCTTGTTCCAGTGTCAAGTTCTCCACTGAGTGTTAAGTTTATTGTAGTGCTTTGATACAGAAACTTTATTAAATTGTGGAAATTCTATTCTATTGCTAGTTTTCTAGTAGCTTAAAAAATCATAAACAGGCTGTTGGATTTTTTCAGTTTTTCTCCTACATTGATTGAGATGTGATTCCCACCCCACCCCCCCGTTTTAGCCTGTGGAGATTTTCTGAGGTTGAGTCATTCTTGCAAGACTGATGTCCTCCTGGCACCTGCCTGCAGGTGCAGGTCAGAGGGTGTTGCTTCGGACATCCTACTTTAAGAGATACTTCCCTCCGTCATAATATACTGATTTTGCTGCCATCTGCTGGAACACCGTCATACTGGCCTGAAGTTGGGATGGGAGCAGTCACCTTTGCTTCCTGAACCCTCTGATCACCATGTATTTTCTTAAATACACTGTTGGATCTAGTCAGCTAATATTTTATTTAGAATTTTAGCATCTGTGTTTATAAGTAAAATGAGCTTATAATTTATTTTGTTATCATCTTTCATCTGGTTTGGAATGAAAATTACACTGGCCACATAAAATGGCTTTGACAATTTTCACCTTTTTTTTCTGTTTTCCAGAACAACTTCTATATAAGGAAATTAATATTTCCTGGAGAGTTTAGTACACTCCAGCTGTAAAAACACTTGGACTGGGATTTGTGGAAAAGGAGGTCTTTGACTAGCTTTTTAATTTCTTTAATGCTTATTGGTCCAAATTCTCTATTGCTTTTTGTGTCAATTTTGACATATTTTAAATTTTTTCTAGAAACTGATGTATTTCATCCAGGTTTTCAAGTCTGGCAGTCTGTCTGATTTCTTAAACTTTGCAATATCGGGATCTTCCCTCACAGGGGCAGGTACTCTAGCTCATGCCCACATCCTTTTGGTTTCCTCCCAACATCACATTTTAGTTCTAGCTTTTAACATTTTTAAAAAGAACAGTTAGGTGGCGATCACTCTGAAGTCTCTCAGGCTTGAGAACATTTGTTTTCTGCTGTTTCATTTGAATGAAAGTTGGGCTGGATAGGAAATTCTAGACAGAAAGTTCTCCTCTCACACAAAATATTCTGTTGTCTTTTTGCATCCATTGTTAAGAAACCTGATTTCTGAACTTTTTTATCTTTCCTGGGTAATCTGTTCTCTCTCTCTGAAGCTTTTAGAATGTTCTCTTTGTCTTTGATATTCATAAACATACTATCACTGTCTTGGTGTGATTTTCCTTATTTTCTGTTTGGTACTCAAAGAGACGTTTCAGTCAGAGGTTTACAAGCTTTCTTCAAATCTGGGAAATTGTTCCTTCAAGTATTTCCTCTCCTCCCTCACCCCTTGTCTGGATTTTGGCACTTTGGTGCCAATCCCCCTTCTCTCCTGGTCTCAGCCCTTTCTTTGTGTCTTCTGGAGCCACCAGGCCTTCAGCTGAGTCAGTCCTCATGTTTATGTCACCCACTATGTCATTCCTTTCAACTAGTATGTTTTTCATAATTTATTTATATTTTTCCCTTTGGTTCTTTGTAAAAAACAAGTTCTTGTTCATGCTTCACATTACTACGTTTCCTGTCCCTGAGGCATATTGTGTCCATCTGTCCACACAGCTCTCCTGGCACCTGTGGGTGGCTACCTGTCACCGTGCACCCTCAGTTGTGGAAGTAGTGGGCATGTGACCTCACATCCACCAGCTGGCCTCTTGGTCAGGTCCCCTGCTCAGAGATGGGCTAAAAAACAGGCTGTGCCCAGCAGGTTGGGACAGAAGGCTGGGCCCTGGGTGGACCACTCCTGATGAGGCTGAACCCTTCATGACCCCTGCACTGAACCCTCACCTCCAACCCCAACCCTGAGGGTCAAAAGGAGGAGGCATGAGTTCTAGTTGGGGAGGGGCTGGGCAGGCCTTCCTCTCCTGGTCTGCCAGCTGCCCTATTTCCTCTGCTGCCTGAGGCCTGGATCCATAGCCTGACTGGTGAGGCTGCCATGGTGGCACCCAGGCCCGAGGAGGAGGGAGGGGTGACTCCAAGGACCTCTGCCCCCTCTTAGGTCGCCCCTCCTCTCTCCCAGGGCTCAGGGCTGCCTTTCGGCTCCCCTGTGCCTTGGGTTCCCAGGACTCAGGAGTCCTTGACTTGTACAGTTTCTTAGGGGCAAAAGGGGAGGGCAAATGGCCCTAGTAGGTGTCACCCTGCCCCAAATTCTCTGCGCTCCCAGATCTCAGGCTAGTAGGTCCTACTCCCTGGCCTGCGGCTGCGGCCCTGCCTCCTCCAGCCTAATTTGACCCTCGGCCAGGGCAAGGCGCCCCTGGTCCAGAGCTCATCTGCCCGCCCCGAGGCCGCGATCTAGGTTCTCTTTCTCGGGACACGGGGGTCGCGGGTGGCCACGGAGCGGGACCCCCTGACACCCTGGACCACAGGTTGGCGCCATCGAAGCCTGCCCTCCTGCAGCTCCTGCCCCTAGACGGCGAGTTAGTGCTGGCCCAGGGAGCCGGATTCGGCGCGCGGAATCCCAGCTCGGAGCTGGGCTGCGGCGCAGGTGAGAGGGCCGCGCCGGGCACGGCCGGAGGAGGGGCGCGTGGGCGACGGGCGAGTTCCGGATTTGGAGCGCGGTCAAGGGCGGGGCCGGGATGGAGCTGCTTCTGGGGAGCAGTCTGGGCGGGGGCGCGCCCCGGGGCGGGGCCTGGCCGGGGGGCGTGTTCCTGGGGAGCTCAGGGTCGCGTGCTGGCCCAGGCACCACGGCGCTGTTCCTCGACCCCGACCGCTTCTCCTGGCACGACCCGCGCCTGTGGCGGCCCGCGGACTTGGCGCGTGGCCTCTTCTCCGTGGACGCCGAGCGCGTGCCCTGCCGCCACGACGACGTCGTGTTCCCGTCGGACGGCTCCTTCCGTGTGGGTCTCGGCCCGGGCGCCCGCACCACCCGCGTCCACAGCGTCTGGGCTCTGGGCCAGGTGAGGCGGGCGCAGGTAAGGGGCGGGAGGGACTCGGGGCCCGTCTCCGCGCTGTGGCCCTGGCAGCGGCCGTCCTGGCGCGCCTCCCTTGCGGCTAGTCTGGACACGTGGGTTCCCAGCACTCAGATGTCTCCTCCTCGCACTGGCCGATCTGGTGACCTGGCCACCCGCAGACGTTCACGCGCGACGAGGACCTGGCCGCTTTCCTGGCGTCCCGCGCCGGCCGCCTGCGCTTCCACGGGCGGGGGACGCTGGGCCTGAGCCCCGAGGTCTGCGCCGACCCGTCGGGCTGCGTCTGCGGCAACGCCGAAGTGAGTGCGAGCCGCGGCGGAGCGCGCGTCGGGGGCCCAGGCCTCCGGCCCGCTCGCTCCCGGGGCGCGGGGCCCTCGCGCTGCGTCTGCCGCCTGCCCGCCCGCGCTGACCGCCGCCTGAACCCTCCAGGCGCAGCCGTGGATCTGCGCGGCCCTGCTCCAGCCCCTGGGCGGCCGCTGCCCAACGGCCTCCTGCCAGGACGCCCTCCGGCCCGAGGGGCAGTGCTGCGACCTCTGCGGTGAGCGCCCCGGCTCGCGCCGGCCAGTGTCCCTGTGGGCCCCGCGCCCGCGGTGTTGACCCCTGCCCTCCTGCCGCAGGAGCCGTCGTGTCGCTGACCCACGGTCCCGCTTTTGACCTGGAGCGATACCGGTCGCGGCTGCTGCACACCTTCCTGGTAACGGGGCCGCGCCCCCTGCGCAGGGACCGCGGGCCGCCGACCCACCCCAGTGACGCATTCCCTCCCCGCCCTCCTGCCCTCCGTTCTTCCCTGCGGCCGACGTGCCCGCTGGTCGGAGGGACGGAGGTCCCGGGCCAACCCTGTCCCCTTCCCTAGCCCCAGTACGAGGGACTGCAAGTGGCCGTGTCCAAGGTGCCGCGCTCGACTGGGCCCCGCGAGGCCGCGGCTGCGGAGACGGCCACGGAGATCCAGGTGGTGTTGCTGGAGCCCGGGCCCGAGACCGGCGGCGCGGGGCGGCTGGCTCGGGCCCTCCTGGCGGACGCCGCAGAGCACGGTAACCGCGGCGACCCCTGCCCGGGTCCCGGCCGCTTCTCCGGGGGAGACTGAGCCGGCGCCCTCGTTGCAGGCGAGGCGCTCGGGGTCCTGGCGGCGGTGGCCCGGGAGTCGGGAGCGCGCGGCGGCGGCGGCTCGGCAGCGGGGCTGGGCGGCGGCGTGGCGGCCGCGCTGCTCCTGTTCCTGGCGCTGCCCGCGGGGGCGCTGCTGCTGTGCCGCGTGCGGTGGCTCAGGTGCGCGGGCCGGGCCTGGGGGCGGGCCCAGGTGCGCGGGGCGGGGTGCCCGGCGGCTTCGGGGCTCACGCGCGTCCTCGCCGTCCAGGGGGAGGAGGCACGACGAGGCGGCCCAAGCGCGGGACGGGGCGCCCCTGGGCTTCCACAACCCGGTGTTCGACGTAGCGAGCTCGGCGGAGCTGGTGAGCAGGTGGGCGGGGGAGGGCCTACCCGCAGGTGGACTCGGCGCCAGACGCCCCCTGACTCTGCGCCCCTGCAGACCCCGACCCCGCAGGCGGATGCCAGGAGCACCAGCCTCAGCTACTTCGTCAACCCGCTTTTTGCCGAGGCCGAGGCCTGAGAGGCCGCGTGACGGCCCCGCCCCTCCTGCCGGCTGAGTCCCTGGCCCTGCGGGACCTCCCGCCCCCCTCTCCCCGCCCCGTCCCTTCAGGATCGCGTGGTGTTGCCCAATAAAGGGGTCTCCCCCACCTGCTGCCAGCTGCCTCCTGTTCTCACCGTTTTGCCCCTGCCTGTGGGCGCTGGGAGGGCTGGCGCCCCCTCCGGTCTCAGTGAGGGGTGGTGCTCCGAGCGCCTCCTGCAGGCTTCCTGGCCACGGGCGGAGGGCAACGCTGGGCACTATCTATAGGGTGTGGTGGTCAGAGGCTCACCCAGAACTAGGGGGTGGGGGCTGCCCTTGGCGCTGAGGGAGCTCATGGAAGGAGCCCTGTGACCAGCAGGGGCAGCGGGAGCAGCGGAGGTGGGGTGCACAGAGGCGACCCAGAGTGAGGCCTCGGTGAGGGTGGACACAGGTAGGTTGCCTCATAGTCTCCACGTCATGCCGAGTGGCTTTTGATCTTGACAATGAAACAACGACTTATTTTACCAGCAAAATAGGTTTATTCGATAATGTCAGGGGGATTGCATTTCAGGACACATAAGCTAGGGCAGAATCACAGTCAGACAAGAGAAGAAAGGAGAGGAACATTCAGAGAGAAAAGGGAGGAAGCTGGCGGGGGGCTGCACTGAAGAAAGTCCATGGGAGGGAAGCAGGGGTTCAGTTGCTGGGGAGCCCCTCTCCCCTGCCGGTTTGTGAACCAGGCTGTTTCCTGTTGGGTTTGCAGTGGAGGCCATATTGGGAGGGCAGGAGGCCTCCCTGGTCAGGCCCCCCAAATCTATGGGAAAGGAGGTGTCCTTTATTCAGTTTTACATTTCTTCTTTGGATCAAGGTCTTTCCTCAAAGGCATTGTTGGTCAAGAGTGGAGTCATCTATGTCCCTGGGTGGCAGGACCTTACCTGGGTGTCACATCTCATACCTGGAGAAGATGCATAGCGGCTGGAAACCATTTTATCATTTTATTTATTTTTCAATCTTTTTTTTTGGTATCATTAATATACAATTACATGAGCAACACTGTGTTTAGTAGATTCTCCCCATTATCAAGTCCCCACCACATACCCCAATACAGTCACTGCCCATCAGCATAGTAAGATGCTATAGAGTCACTACTTGCCTTCTCTGTATATACTGCCTTCCCCGTGCCCCCCTAACCCCACATTATGTGTGCCAATTGTAATGACCCTTTTACCCCCTTATCCCTCTCTTCCCTCCCACACTCACCAGTCCCTTTCCCTTTGGTAACTTAGTCCATTCTTGTCTGTGACTCTGCTGCTGTTTTGTTCCTTCAGTTTTTTCTTTGTTCTTATACTCCACAGATGAGTGAAATCATTTGGTACTTGTCTTTCTCTGCCTGGCTTATTTCACTGAGCATAATACC